CCCCCCCCCCCCAGGATTTTCACTTTTTCGTTTGGCGGCATGTTTTCTAGTGCAAAGTTTAGACTCTCCCAGAATGTGGACTTTCCGGCTTCATTCTGGACAGTCGAGGAGGCATAGGCACTTATTATATTTAAGATACCACTTTCTAAAGTCAGACTAACGCCCATGATTCTGTCGTTAATTCGGTTGACTTCGAATAACCTGTTTTTGATCGCTTCATTCACTGCCATTAAAACTCCGTTTGTTATGCTTGATGCTCCACAGTAAGCAAGTTTGTAATTTAGCCCAATCTCTTTTCGATTTCTCTCCTTTTCATTTCGTCTCCTGAATAGAAACGAGCTGAACGTTTTTCATCTGAAGAGATTTTACTAGCTCCATACGCTTTCCCGTCATTGTTCTAATGCGTCAAATGGCGATTCCCATTTTCTCGCTTCGTTTTCGGCATGTCAATCTCTCCCTTTGCGGTTTCCGTCATTGCAATAACTGGCACCCTTGCTTATTTCTTACAGCCGATGGGATTTGCTGCTGTGCGTCTTCCGTGTGGTACACCCTAGAATTCTTTCTAGAGGTAAGCAGACTCATCATATTTGGCTTTGGCATTATGCTGCCTGCCTGCCGCCACCCTGCGTTCTCAACCAGGATGGGAACCGGCTATGGCTCGTTAGGGTTAGCCGCACGCTAATTTGATGGCGCATGCACTCGCCATGTCACCATGTTGTCATCAAGTCAGGCGGAATATTTTAGAGTCAACTTTGCCAAAGGTCGGCTCGCTGCACCCTTGTAGCACTGTCGTTACCTTGTAGGCGAGTGCTTATTCGTTGGGTTCTGCGCTTATTTCGCAGCTAACCCTCCTATCTGAGACCTGTTCCACATTCCGCAACCGGTGGACGCATTCGGCGGCATCTGACGATGCTTGGACACTACTATCTGACACCGAATGCTCATTTGCTTGTATAATTAGTTAAATTATATCATCCTCTAGTCTAAGGAATAATAAACTACGCTGAAAGGAATAGAACCATGCATGGATTTTGATCCGTGCGGATAGAGGGAGAATTGAAGGCATTAAAATCGAAGTATATTAAACTTAACAGGCGTTTGTCACCCAAGATTCTGGCGGCCAATAAGATGAGGAGAGTAAAAATTTCTTTATCTGTAATTTCGATGCAAGTTATGGCTAGTTTTAAAACATTAAGAGAAGAATAAGTTTGATAAAATTCAAATTCACGAGCGAAGCAACAGGTGATGATACGGAAGGAGTCGAATAATTTTCAGAATGCTTCAAGTACATCAGTGAGGAGAGTAGTGATACTTGTTTGAAAACATTTAATAATTTTGGAAACGACTTGCTTTGGAAACGATTAATTGATCGAATTTTCATCGTTACGTAAAAAAGATTATGGTACCAATTTATGTAGTTAATACTGAAAGACAGCATTAAACGGTTTATTTAAACACAATGCGATACATATGATCTATCGGTTGAGAGACCATTAACGATGACTCGACCCATATTTCATGCG